CATTTAAAGGTCCTGCTACTAATAATATTTTGATGCTGATAAGATAAAACATTAAGTATTTCCTTATTTGTAAAACCAAGGTATAACTTCAAGATTCTTAAAACTCCTTATTTTACCGCAGTGGTAAGATGGCTTTTTTAAGTAGGGTTTCTCATAATATGATTTTATTCTGGCATTAGTTTTGTAACATTATGACATTATTCTCATAGCTTAGAAATAATAAAAAAATTCTCACAGTCTGGCCCTAATACTCCGTGCTGGAACTAGATGCTTCTTGATGAATGGTGCACTCCACTCAGACTATTTTTAGAATGGTATTCACGTGACTACGTTCGCACAACGCTTGGTGGGAGCCTTTCTTGGTATCAATCACAGCAGGTGGTTTAAATGTGTTTCAGCTTAAAGAAATTCAGGAAAATGTCATCGAATTCCACTGGGAGGACCACAAAACATTTTGCTACGGTACTCGTAACAGTGACTCAGGATGCAGCCATCATCCCCACATGGGAGGAGTATTATTGTCGCATTTCCCAAGCTAAGATGTAAGCTAACAGCTGGATTCAAGCAACGAGACAAGCTGAGTTTAACCAGAGAAAAAGTGTAACCATGGACTTACAGTAGGTCTGCTCCAAACATTAGACTGGAGGTAAAAACAAATAAATAAATAAATAAATAATATGAATCAGGACCACCTGGTACTTTCTGTTTCTACACAGGTACAGCAAACCTTAGATTTTTTTTTTACCATACTAGTAGCTTTACTTCTCTCTATGCAGAAGCAGCGGCTTGAGTGATAAAAACACACAMAATACGGTCAGCTCAAGCTAGAAGACACTGGTAAACACAAACTTTTTAACAATTCTGTCCACTTTCCAGTTTGTCCAAGGCCTTGACTCTCCAGCCAACATTTCAAYTGAACAATCCTGTATTTTCTAACGWTAKATGTGTCRAACTTTACACTAAGAGCATCTTTTTTATGTTATGATACTACCACTGACTATCCTTTGAATCCATAGCACTGGTACAATCATTCGGGCTGCTTGTGAGAGAGTAGCAGATTATCAAYGAAAGTAATATGCATGACGTCATGCGTGGAGATTACCGTAAAYTCACTTTCCGCGAATCAGTCAGCAAAAAAAAAAAAAAAACTAAAAACGGCCACATAAATTATTGCTGCTTTTAATTCATTTTACGACTGTCTGCAGAGAGAAAAACAAGAGGAAATTCTCAAAATCAATAAACTTACTGTCTCCTGTACAAGCGTCCTGCGAGTCCAAGATGCCTGATTCCTGCAGGGATCTAATGCACGAGTCCACCAGCTCCAGACCTGTCGTCAGCTCTTCCTCTATGTCCTTCTGTCCGTCTACACATGGATGGAAAAGAAAAAAATTACATCAGTGGAGAAAAAAAATAAGGATTTTTCTCTTGAACCGTGCACATACTGAAAAGGACTTCAAGTAAAGCAACTTTGAGAAGCACACGTGTAATTCAGTAATCACTGACCTTCACCAATTCTGCTCTGTTTATTGTGTTTATACTCATTTAGAATTAGGGTGTAATTCAAAGGAAGGAATTAGGCTTTTAGCACTATGTTTACAGTTMATACTCGTTGCGGTCATCAAATCCTCACTGACAATCAGTTTGACAAAAACAAAGGAAACAATATTTAATCTGTGTATAAATACATTATGTCCTTTTTAGGTTGGGAGTACTTCTATAGTAAGTACTACATCCACTTGGGGGTAATGTCACAAAAAGACAGATAATAAGTTGCTTTTTTAATGCCTTAGTCTTTCACTACAGCAATGGCTGACAACATTTCTAGAAGAACTGACGAATGATGTCATGAGATTCAAAGTGTTTGCTTGGTAAGTTACTTCTAGGGAAGTAAATGATTCGAAAAATTTTAATTTGTATTTTCAGCCACAGCCAGAACTCCAGGGGTATGCCAGTGAAGATTCGCAAGAGCTGTTTCAAACCTAACATCTCTCAGGAGGGAGGGGAGGGGAGAGTGGTTTGTGTGGGGGGTTMAGTTCTCACAAACTGAGCAACGCGCTGCAGTTTCAGAGCTTAGAATTCCACACTTTTCAGTTTTGAAGTAAAAAAAAAAAGTCTTCAACAAATAAGGAATGAGATGCTTTGTTTAGAAACTCTTAGTATTTGCCATGTATGCCGACTGTTTCAGTGGTTAAAAGCACCAACACATAAAGGAAGAATTAAGTGTCTCCACCTTCTTTGGTTGTTAAAATCTGAAGAAGCCACACGATCCAGTTTCATACTGTACTGTATAACTTTTATTTACTGAAACAGAGATTGTGCCRTTGCAATCAGGGCCTTTAGGTCCTGCCTAAATCCCTGTACACTTTAAGCACAAAAAGACTAATTACCACTAAACAGACTAGAAAAAATATTATCTGAACAAACAGCTGCAAGGCAAGTACTTTGTAAATCAACAGGAGTCAATACCTATAATAAAACTAACCTGTTATTTTGGGCATTGTTCCATTTGTTTACATGGTGCACAACAAGACAGTCTATGCTGATCTCGTTCCAGCTTCAACTTCCAGGTACAGCAGAAATGTCTAGTTTTCTTTAAAAGTCCATGGGTGAAATAGGAACTTAKTCATATTCTGTAAGGTGGACTGTTATATTCTGGCTAAGAAATAGTATTTTAATAGTTGAAAACATATAAATTCCTAAAAGTACCATGTTTATGTGAGTAGAATGCAACCCCCAGTTTCTTTAACTTAAAAAGCATAGAAGGATTGAATTGTTAGCAGTGGTGGGCACAAGCCCACTAAAGTGCAAATCTGCTAAATGCAGACCTAAATATGTTATTTGCGCTTTAGCAAGCTTATTAATTATTATAATTCATAAGCGGATTTGCGCTTTCAAAAATGGAAATGTAGTACCACTGTTAGCTATTTATTTACCAGACATTATCTTGAACAGAGGAAGGTAAGACTGTCAATGAATCACGACACACGTGATCTGTCCAACAGTACCCACCCCCCCACCCACATAAACACACTTATTGGGTAGGTAGGTATACATCCTTCCTGAATGTTGCTTTGAGCCACGGTTCTGATTTCCCACAATGCTTTGTGTCTGCTTACGTAGCAGGAAGGCAACAGCAAAAACAGTAAATGTTTGTACATACTAAAGTTTCGTATGTATTGATTTATTTTACTTTACAGTCGGAGCTCCCTTTTAAAAAAAAGTTTAAACGCCGGAGCTCAAAAGCAATCGGATAATGGTGTTAGAGACTCAGAAATTATTTAAAGATGTTATGCTCGTGAAGACTGACATCTAGTGGTCAACTGGAGCAACTACATGAAAACGTCCTAATCCAGGTAGAAAAAAATCAAAAAGAGAAAATAAGTAGGTCCTCTGGATGGGTTCTTCTTTAGTGAAACGTTTCGTCTCTTCTCTAAAAGACTTCTTCAGTCTGATGAGTTTCAGGTGAACTGGAAAACTTTAAAATCCAATGAAAATATGAAAAACTTTAAAATCCAAGCTCTTATTTTGAAGGGAATATACTAGTTTCCTGTTTCCCATGCTTTCGTTTCCTGTCAGTCCGTCATGTACCCAGAATGCATTGCTTCAGTTTTCCAATAAACAGTTTTAAAATTACTTTATTGATGCTTCTTTAATGAAAAWTCTACAACAAACAAAAKAAAAAGACAAAGAAGCAGCCRAACTAGCAATCCTCAACAACTTTTTWAAGAAASAGCYGAACTAGCAATCCTCAACAAYGTTTTCATTTTTACACCAYGAGYCAAAGCTCTGTTTCAGGAAATCAGAATCGCCGGTTATAAGATTAAGCTGAACAAGGGTTCAYACACYGCTAGTTGGCAGTATAGTGCRTATTGTACATGAATTGTCAACTGGTAGGTGTCAAATTGAACTTGTGCTTTAAAATTAGCTTCTGCTAATTTTTCTATGACATAAGTGTTTTTGAAGTTGCGGACATAAATATATTCATAAGTGCTTTAGAAATTGCGGAGCTAATTTTTGGATTAGCGCTGCCCACCACTGGTTGTTTGTAATGCTACCCATAATTTTATACAGACATCAGGATTTTTCCTGCCTTTGTCAGTATCCATATCAATAAAATGATCATGTGATGTTTGTGGAATCAGATTTTTTAAAATTCTTTTTAGCTCAGCATCGTAGAAAAACTGGCATTTATAGTGAGAAGACCTTTTCGAGCGAATGACTTTGTAGACCAGAGAGTGCCATCACAATCATGACACGTATGATTTTGCACGACACTAGTAAAGCCTGATTTATATGTAAGTATTAATTTAACCCCCCAAATTTATGGATAAATTTTGGGGTCTAATTTTTCGCATTTTACATGCATAAGTATGGTAGATATTTAAAAAAATATTTTACTATTTTTACATTTTAATATCACTTCCTAATCCAAGTAAAGCGCTGAGTAAAATCGTTTTTTAATTATGTCTAATTTTTTTTGCTTGCATTATATGCAAGAGGGGGAATTCAAAATTTATTTTCATCCAGTTGCTGATTAGTTTAAAAGGACGTTTTACTCATTCCTTTAGCACCGACGTGCAACGGTAAACCCTGTGTCAAGGGTAAAAACGTATCTTGATAATCCAGCAACAAATCTTCTGGGATCGAGGTCCACCTTGTGCTCCGATACCAGCCGTTTGTCTGTCAGACAGAGGCAGATAGCATGCCCGCTGTCTTTCAGTTCGAGAGGGCTGCCAAGGAGGATAAAAGCTTACAAATGAGTCTTAGGAGAACATTAATCTCTTACCAAGATGGAAGGAGGACGTTAATAGTAGCGGCTTTAGTGGGAGGACTTAGGAGGCCTTTTTTATTGACTTCGACTGATGCGTTTGCAGACTGATGATGCTGATGCTGTTGGTAAAATCATTTCCAGGACTGACTGCAGCGTTACATTGGATTTACTCTAAACCTTGCCGGAAAAAAAAAAGCCACAAGTCATTTTCTGTGCGTGTCAGGATTAATGGGTTTATAACGATTTGTGAGCGATGATGTGATCAAAGGTCTGACTGGAGTAATGAAAGGTTTTATTGTTAAGTAAATTTTGTCTTCCTTGGGCCGAGCGGTCAAGCTAGAGCACAGCAGGTCAGACAGTGAAAGCCTTTTTTCCACCACCTAAACCTCTGAGCTTGTGTTATGTTAGCACCTCTTTGTGGGCAGAGGTCATCAAGCATGCACTCGGGCCATCAATCTACTCTTGACATCGAATAGATCTTAACCTGACTGACAAAGAGGCAGAAAAAGTGACTTGGGCATCGTGGATTGCTGGTATTTTTCTAACTAAAACCCTGTCCGAAACACTGTTAAGCCTGGAGATGCGACACCAGGCTTAGATTGGACTTTTAAATAGTAAGAAAAGCACATTGATCCTTGTTGTCGTTTATGGAAAGCACGTCTCATCTGGTCTTTTAAAAATGTGGTTTGACCTTTATTCAGCTTTCACAAGGGGTGACGCGTGACGGAGACTAAAAAACAAGCTTTTATGCGAAGGAACCTATTTTCTGTGCGAAAAACGAGTCTTGATTTAACCTTCAGCAGCCACCAGAGTCGTTTGAAAGGACTGCATCAGTGTAGCAAAGATGCCCAATGGGAGGGGTTAAAAAGCAATAAAGCAACAAGCACATTCAGCAAACAGCAAACAACAAGGGACTCGGCATGAACATATGCTAGAGCATTTAGGATAGAGGTTTACCTTGGTTGTTCCAGCGAAACTTGTCATCTGCTGAGCTGCAAGACACAAAGAAACCAAACAAGTTCAGACGCATCAACGTAAAATGAATTTAACATCACATTGTTTTTGTCCATTGAACCATCTGCGGGATATTTTATCTGGGATCCTACACTGAGCCACACAACTAATAAAATGTCCTTATTTCATAATATTTAAACAGGGGGTATTACATATTTTCCAGGTACACAGTTTGATTCTTTACCATGATTATGTCATGAAAATGCTATTTATATCAAAAATTTGACTTGGCATCATAGCCTATTAAAACRCYTTTAATTTGGCCTCTGTCTCTTTAAGAACCTCCTACTGTTTCATATATTCCCACTTCAGCAGYAACTATGCTTCAGGGGAGGGGTGCTCTGTGGGGCAGGAGCTCGGCTGCAGACTGAGCTCCAGGGAGGAGCTTTGCACAAATAGGAGGTGCTTTGTAGCAGCAAGGGTTTAGGTAGCTCCACATGGCTTCAACAGGAGATTCAAGGATTTCTCAAACATGCATGAATGAGTCAAAGCAACACTCTGGGTATGTTTTTGATGAGGGAATGAAATTATAACACSATATGAAGCTCAACAAAGTGATTTTTGCACAATACCCCCCTATAAAGATGATTAATAAAAAATCTTAGATTATTGTTTATCATTACTTTTCAAATTTTGTATATCTAGTTGCAAGGAAAGGAATTAAACCACAGCACTGCTACTTAGGAATGTTCCTCAATTACTTGGCCTCAAAGACTCTTCAAAATAACACAATTTTTTTTTTTGTTATTATAAAGGTCAGATTGGCTCAAAAGGATGTGACGTTAAAAAAGTGTGTGTGTGTGTATATATATATAT